TTACTGTAAATGAGCAGTGGATGGAATGGTTTACTATCGGGAGTTGTTATTGAACAGATCGCAAAGCCTTTCTTTTTTTTTTTGGTCCAATAGGGAATTTCCAAAACTCACACTCTGCCACTGCAGTGTAATGTAAGATAGGTAAGTGGGTTTAGGCTGTGTGGGTGGGGACACTTCTTCGGTGCTGAAGTGTATGAAATGTCAAAAGATAAACCTGAGTTTGATCACATAGGCCATCATACCCCCCTCCCAAAAAAGTCTAGTCCTCAGTAAAATCTTTGTAAAAAGGTTATGGTTTTAAACTCGATATTAACAGTGAGAGAGTAGCAGCTGATGTGACACACTGGACTTTTTGAGGGAAGCAGGTAGTTAATTTTGTCTGGTGCTTTTAATCCATGGTACCAGCATGTCCTCATGATGGTATGTGTGCTTACATTAGAGAGAGAGCAGAGTAGTTTTCCCTGCTACATGTATAAAGCATGTACATTATTTATCTAATTGCTGTGATTTGTCTGCCTCCATCACTACTCCTGTAAGCATCTTTCTGGTTAACATGTTGCCCTGTGTGAGGGTGGGAGTTGAAAGGAAAAAAAAGGTTTCCTTTTTGCTACAGCTTCTGTGAAACGTGGAGCAGCCTTCCCTAATTTGTCAAAGACGTGTATGTTGGTAAGCACCAATTGTTCAGACCTGAGTGTAGTGTGCAACCTGCAACTTAATTAGTTTGCTAGATCAAAGACATTTTCTCAGTTAGCATCAAAACAACATACATTTTTTAGTTATTTTTTCCAATACATTCTTAAAGATAAAAGTCCATGTATCGGTGACTGAGTAATGGAAATCAGGCATGTGTATCGTTGACAGTAGAAACTTTTGGGTTTCTAAATATCCCTAACAAGTTTGACTGCAGCTTCGTTTCTGTAAGCAAATCTTTTCAGAATTGTACCCTGTTGAACAGCTCAGGATGATTTTGCTTTAGCTGTGCAGGAATTACAGATGAGACATGTAAGACTCAGAAACCAAGCAAATACATTAGTAGGCATAGGGGCAAAAGACCCAAAGAGACTATAGTACTGGGAAATTAGAAGGTTATTCAGTCTGAAGATAGGAAATACAGATGTAAATATAGAAAACTGGAAACTTTCATTATTAGGTGCAAACTCCCAAAGGTTTCCTTGTGGTGAACAAAAGAGAACAAATCAGCTTAATAATATCAGAATTACTTGAGCACCTGTGAGGTAAAGGATAAGCAGCAAAAGAATGAGAGTATTGATGGATAGTGATTTTTCTGATTGTTAATATCCTCATGCTCATTCTTGCACGTGCCCCTGCAGTAGTGGATGAGACTTTGGCTTTTTAACCGGTCATTCTGTCTTCTGAGTGTATAGTGAATGAAGAACGTTTCTGCTTTTTCCATTACCGGGTACTGTTGCCATGCAAGCTCAGTGTCTGTAAGTTTTATCTTGGGAGTCTCCTCTGCTGTCTTATCTGAGCTCACAAAAATGAGTCTATTAGGATTTCTCCATCCTTTAAGGGCAGAGCAGTGGCTCTGTGGCTCAGGATCTGCGCCTGTGGCTGGAAGGTTACTGGTTCAAATCCCGCGTCCGACAGAGGAATCCTACTCCGTTGGGCCCCTGAGCAAGGCCCTTCACCCCAACTGCTCCAGGAGCGCCGTATAAATGGCTGACACTGACCCCAAGCTTCTCTCCCTGTCTGTGTGTCTGTGTCTCATGGAGATCAAGCTGGGGTATGCAAAAAGACAAATTCCTAATGCAAGAAATTGTATGTGGCCAATAAAGTGATCTTTTCACTTTCTCTGCATGGGTCAAGCCTGTGATCCCACCAGCACAGTTCTACAGTCCCTTCATGCTTGCAACAACAGCTTAGCACACATACTGATTATATACTTTACAGTTTAGTGGTTCCCAGCCCTGGTCCTAGAGGGACCCCTGTGTGGTCTGATTTTCACTCAAGCTTGCCTGTTGATCGCTGGCACTAATTGATACCTTCAACAGATCTGATTGCTTGTCTAGTCTTTTGTTTGCCTGGGTCCTCGGTTTCAAAGATGCCCCACTGCAAGTGTCTTTTTCCCACAGCTTCATCATACAGAGCTTGTTGCGGTTTTTCCTCAACTCCTTTAATAGGAGTTGCTCCCTTTCTTCTGTCTGGGGAGCTTAATCTTAATCTTGATTGAGTTCGGAAAAATTCAGAAAGTGGTACAGGGTTCATACCATTTATCCTATTTAACTTAAACTTAAGCCAAATTTTTTTTTTTAATGTCATTAGCCATTAAGATCCCGTGTGGCACAAAAAGCAGAAGAGACAGGAGGTTCCCCAATGCCAGAGTTGGGAAGTGATGCTGTATAGAGTCACCCAATTGTGTGTAGCCCTGGTCTTGTCTAACTAGAATCCGGGATGCTGCTAGGGTTTTTAGATTAATTTTTTGTGGCCTGCCAGGAGAGACTTCAGCTCAGGTTTACGAAATGTTGAAAACTTAATTCTATGCCCCTTCATTATATTTCTCATCAATTTCAAATCTTCTCACTGTAGAGAAACCTACAAAATTGTGAGAGTCGGCAAAGACCTTCCTGTTCATAAAGTTAAGAATTTGTCATTTTTTTCCCTGTCTTGGATTTTGTTTCATGTTTCTTAAATGGCACAAAGTGAGACTATATTGTGGGATGATGTAATTACACTCCATGCAGAATATTAGTCCTGTCCACTACTGCCCTTCGGATCTGTGCTGTTTGTGGAGTAGCAACACCGGCGTTTAAAAAAAACAACTTGAAAAAGTGATACCTTGCTCACCTGCAGTGGTCTTCTAATGCAGATGAGTATATATGTCATAAGGAAAAATAATGCTGTATTGCCCATGAGATGTGGCCATGCTTAATAAGGTAGCCTTCTCTTGTAGTGTGAGATTCCTGTGTTAAACAGGCCTGTTACTTTACCAAAAAGTCCAATTCAGTTTTGTGCCAGTATAGTTCTGTGACCTGATACTGTATGTGCTGGAAGCCCATATTAAGATTTTGAATTTCATCTTAATGCCAGAGGACCCAGGCACTGGGAATTTTGAACATTACAGCAAAGTGTATATCAAATGATTAAACCGGATTCATATGGCATGGTTAAGTTTTTTGGTATAGCTTCAGTGCAGTGCAAAGTTAAGGTGAAACTCTTGTGGTTTTGATTTAAAGGAAGTTGTGATCAATGTGAGACACTTTGGACGCTTCAAAAAAAAGACAGGACTTCTCTCCTGGTTTCAAGTATATATGAGACTTTTCACTTTTCTCTAAAAAAATAATCAATCAGGTAAGACAAGCAAATTGTTCAGTTAAGTCCAAAGTATGCCTGTATTTTTTTTTCTTCTTCAAAGTCATTTAAAAAAGAGTCTGAGCAGAGACCATCCTAGAAAAAGAAGAGTTTCATTTTATTTCCTCTGCAGAGTCGCAAATATGTCCATCACCTGGAAGAGATTGAAATATGAAATATTAAAATGCAATTATCGTATAATTTCATACATAACATTTGAAGTACACTCCATTTACTGAGTGATGTGATAACTACCAAAAAAGAGCACAATTAGTTTGCACATGTAACATGACTTCCAAAATAACATCACCAGAATAATGTCCTTTATCCGAGGCTGTGAATGCAAAGATGAGTAATCATACTGACACACACTAAAAACTGTTTATCAAGCTGTCGTCTTGTCTATAGGAATTATCTGTTTTTCTGTGTCTTTGTGACTGTATTTGCACCATATGTATGTGTAATAATTTGATTTGTTTCAAAACAAGGAGCTTTTTTGTTAACTGTGAACTTCTTCGTGTTGCTTATGTGTTGTATGTGTCTATGCTTTTTTTTGCCATTTTCATTTGATCACAATATTAAGTTACTTAAGGTAGCATGTCCTTCTGTATGTTCTTAAGCACTGTGGTTTGAAATACAGAGGTTTTTCCTCTGTGTGCATTGTCCCTTGTGTTGTTACGTATAAAGAAAGAGGAACATTTGACCATATGAACCACGGCTGCAAGGATATGGGACTTTCACCAGATAGCTTGATCAGTTTCCGCTACAACAAACCTGTGGTAACTTTCGTTGCTTTAAGTTTTCTGAATTAAATACTATTCTTATTTAAATAGTCTTTCTTTTTACTGTGATCTTCACTCCAGGTTTGTATTAATTACATACTTGTAAACACCATATTGACACCCGAAGAAGGCTCCACAGCTGAAACGTTGTGATTTCTTTCTTCTCTTTTCAGCATGGAATATACAGTACCTATTACTTGTTCCTTTTCAACCTTATAGATGCTGCAAAAAGACATGAGGTGGACAGTTTTAGAAATAGATTGTACCTTCTTTTTTATATCATAGATTTTCACTGGAATGACCAGCTAGGCAAATAAAAACATAGCAGGGATGACAGCTGAAATTCACCTGTGATAATAATGAGAAACATTTCTACCCTACCGCAGTACCCATCCTCAACAGCTAATTGCAATGCCTCAAACTCAATACACATCTGCACTGTGCACTTTTTGCATGGTCTCCCATGTTTTTTACAGTACTACATATTTATTGTTCTGTTTTTATTATTTTTTATTTATATACTGTCTACATTGTGCAGTGTTGTCTGCAGTACTGTCTATATCCCGTGAGATCAGCTCAAATAAGAATTCCAATGTACATAATCCAGTGGCAATAAACTCCTCAACTACTCTATTGTACATTTATTTCCAGAGTCTTTGGTTTCTTCTCTAATTACCATTATATTTAATTTTTAAACCTATATAAAGACAATGTATAAGAAGCTCATGTTGCACATTTCTAGACAGTGGAGAATTCTCTTTTATATTCCATTGTGCAGATATGCCTTGCTGAAAGGACTGTTTTGTTCAGTCTGTCTCTTTGATTAAAGTGTCTTCAATGGTCCATTTCTGTGTTGTTCTGCAAATGTAGACAGAGGCAGGTGACCAGTTTGTGGAACTCTCTCTGCAGGTGTAAGAAACTACCTGAAGGAAGCTTTAGTGAATATCATCACTGTTCACGCAGAGGTAAGAAATATGTTTTCTATAGGCAATCTCGTGCTTGTGAAGATTAGTCACTAAATTGTCCCTTTGTGCTTTTCTGTGTGTGCGTTCTTGTGCCCAGAGACTGAGTGGTGACCTGTCCAGGGTAAAGTCAACTTTGTACCCTATGTTTCTTAAACAGGATCTAAGAGAGTCACATTCAGCTTTCTCGTTCATTAAAGAATGCAGAGGTTACTTTCCTCATGTATATCTACATTACAAATTTGTACTATGCTTTACCTTTAGGATTGCGGTAAATTCGAAGTTGGCTTGATAGAAACCTTTGACTGTATCAGACTGTAAAATGACATGGCTGGATGACATGTGACTCTCGTCTCTTTTTTTAGTCTGCAAAACACAAAACGGACCTTAAGAAGTTTCTAACATCACGCCAGATCTATATTTTTATACAGTTGAAGGGGTTTTTTTTTTGGGCCCCGTAGGTTTGCACATTTTTTAGCTTTTAACATTTTTCAGCTGCTAATTCTGATCCGAAACCCCTTTGAGTTACTTCAAAACCCTGAAGAGTTTCAATGTTGACAAGACGATTCCCTTGGTAACAGCGTGCCTTACTATACTGTACAGTCGGAATAAAACCGCTGCCGGACGTACCTGTTGCCTAATGTCTCCACGGACCGACCTGAACCAGCAGCAGAAATGTGTTCAGCAACAAAAATAATGCTCTAACCCCTCAGGTGTTCACGGTTTCCAAAGAGCTGGTCCCGCGGGTGCTGTCCCGCATCGTGGAGGCAGTGGCCGAGGAGATGAGCCGTCTGATGCAGTGTGTGTCCTCCTTCAGCAAGAATGGGGCTCTGCAGGTACCCCTTCCACTTCAGTCCCCAAATTCCCAGGCTGGCCCCCCCAGGGAGGGACCCCTAGAAAAGGGGTGCCTGAACCAGGCTTCTCACTCGAAGCTCGGCTTGGCTTTACTTGGTGGCGCTGAAGATCTTTACTCTGCAGTGATTCAAGTGGGAATTGCGGTCGCTAGATTTACAGAGCTTTTGTCTCGAAGCACTTAGTAAATTAGCTGGGCTCTGGCAGTCAGAGGAGTGTGTGTGTATCAACACTGAAAATTACTGAGGTTTCATCCTGCAGCTGGGTTAAAGTTCGATGTATTTGAGCTGCAGCATTGACCCAAACGAGGTCCAGTGTTTCATGCACTGTCCGTCCAAACCATTTATTGGGGTGATGAGAAGATATGTGCAGTAGGCAGGGTTGTCCCAGGAATTTGGAGCTTGAATCAATTGATTCTAGGTTACACAGAGCACTATGAAAGATTATCAGTTGATTATTGTATCTGATTTCTAATACCCTGGGTCCCATCCGTGTTGAAGATTTCTTCATTGATAGTGGAGTTACAGTGACACATTAGGCCAAAAGTGTACATTTGGTTACAGATGTTTTTACATGCTTAATGTATTGTGTCATATTCACATATCTTCTGTAAAGCTTCAGGTTCAGTCTTGAACTTGGCAATAAAATCTACCAGACAGTGTTTTATTAAAAGTACCGTGCATTATCTTCTAGTCATAAAACATTTGCTAATGTTAAACTTAAAATTCACCTGAAAAAATTGCAGGTGGGATAGCATCATGAAATCATGCAAACTGGAAAAAATCTACAAGTTAATTTCCTGTTAACCTGACACCTATCCACTTGAGAAATTTGTTTGGTTCCTCCTTTGGCAACTTATCTTTGCGTTTGTCTAAAGTGTTTTTATTTCTGAGAAAACTGCCTTTGGTTCACCAAGTTATGTGTTTGCCTGCTGAAAGAGTCCCACAAAACATGCCTGATAATGGCACACACAGTAGTCCCCATTAATCATATCTCTGTATAGCAATTAGTGTCCTTTCAATTGCCTGATCTGTTGTGGATGAAACTTTTTATCGTTTTCTGTATCGATCTTTTCTCCAGGCACGGCTGGAAATCTGTTCCCTGAAAGATGCCATAACGTACTACCTAACCCCAGACAGCAGGTAAGATGAGTAAGACTCTCTAGCTTCACAGATCCAGAAGCACAAACCAAAAACATCATCGTTATCAAAACAGGTTTTCAACCACTTCTGTAGATGTTTGTATTCAAACTTCACAGAAGTAGTACATGTATAACAACTTAATCCTCACAACCTTTTCTGACCATAAAAAACATACTATAGTTTATAGTCAGAACATTTTTAAAACCATTATCCCATCAATAGGATTCAGCTTCATGCAGTGATCTTGCATTACAACACAACTGTTCACTGCTGTTTTTGTTTTATATTCAGTGTTTTACTGCATGTTATTTCCTTATTTGTTTGTTTTTTAAAGAAATAAAAAATGATGTTTTCGCTTCTCATTTTTCTACTGCATATATCAAAAACCAGAAGGAGTTGTTTAGGGGATGCTCGTTGTAATAAAGGGTATTCATTATTTGAATTTTGCTGAAAATGTGCTGTGCCTATTATAATGAACTGCTGTTTTCTGCATTCCCTTAAAAAGGCTGGTGCTCTAGCATTATTTTCGGGCTATTTATACACACTTCACGGGTATATTTATGTGAATTATGGGATACTTTTTTTTATCCTATGCCAGTGATGGCTTTCTGTTAGTATTCTCCATTGTAATATACAGGTTTTTGTACATTACATGCTAAAGCATGAGTATTCTAAGCAATAAGTGCTAATAGACTTTACTCCCTCAAAATATAACGAAAGTAGCCTTTAGCTGGACTTTCGTGAGCTGCAGGTTGCTCTTTGGTTAGGTCTCAGATGAGTCTCATGGTCCTCTGGATGTATCTGGTTCTGAGGTTAGCCTCTTCCCTGTGTCCCAGATCACACACAGACAACCTCCTGTTGTATCGATGGGAAGTGAAACTGTTCTCTCCAGAGCTCAGGCCTCCTGTGTGTGAGGCAGTACCTGTTAACTGTAAACTGTGCTATTTTTACAACTGGAGAGCTGCGGCACTGGCAGTTGATAATGTTTCTGCGCACCTCTGTTGTGCTATTAAAGCACCCTTAATATGATTCTTTACATATATTTTTGGGGATAAGTTCTTGAATTAGCAGGAACATCCTTTCATTTTAGAGAGGCGCTCCAAGGAATACAGAGCCCTTTAAGCTGTCAAAACGGCAGATGAAATTTCGTCGTGACAGTGCAGGTTTAACGCTTCAGCAAAGACTGCACCATACCGTTCAAACGTTTAAAAAAACGCGTACCAAGAGGAAGGAAGATATTGAAAGACCAATTGATAGTGTTCGTCCCCGTTTGTTCTGATCCCTGTGTTTACTGGGGATGAGAGGAACCTCTTTCTGGGTTGCCTCAGTTATGCCTCTGTTTCTCGGACCATGCAGCTACTTTCTTCTCATTACTGGAAAAGTTTACAAGCACTTTCTTTCCCATATTTAAGGACTGATTCAAATATACTTCTCAATGTGACGTATCTCTTAACGTGCACACGGTTCTTCTGTATTGAAGAAGGCAGCTGCTTATTTTTATAGATGAAGCAGTCGCCTGTTCTGGGATGCGGAGTTTCAAGTAAACCTAGGGACTACAGAGATGAAGAGGGAAGAATTTTGTGCTTTTCCCAAGTTTTGAAAGCAACTGCACGTTATGCAATAATGTGGACCATGTTTATACAGAACAAATGACCACTTCAGCTTTGCTTGAGTGATGGATTTAGGCACGTACCATATAACGATCTTAAACTTTTCGTACTTCCATTTGTCACAGACCTCCTGAGGCAATTTACTCCTGGAATGGTGTCCCCTTAAACATTTTGTAAAAACTCTATACATACAATATAGAGTGTATAGGCCTGGTTTAGGGCTTAAATTGAAGCTTAACATCTGACATTGCAGCAGCAGGACTTGCGTTTCTTCACACAGCAATCGTTGCTTGGTGTCTAAGCCCTCTACTTCATTGATCCACTTTAATTTACTGTGTGTAGTACTTACCCTCCCTTCAACTTCTCAGTATTTTACCAACCTCTTGTGTGCTTGCAGCCGTAGCTTCAAGCAAGCTCTAGAAGTCTTACCCCAGCTGCACAGTGGAGCAGACAAAAAGTAAGAATCTCGAATTGCACTTTGCGTTTCACAGCCTGTCACTGACATCGTTGTTTAAGTGAGGAGCAGCTATACAGTACATCACGTTTTAAGAAGTGACGTTGTGGTCTCGTAAATGAGAAGTTTTCTGAGCTTTGCAGCTTATACAAAACTAATCTCGGTATTTTGTATCGTACGGTAATAACTTTGTTATTTTTTTCTCTTCTCCTCTTATTTGCTGATTTACCAACTGTTTAGCTTATGTTTCCTTTTTTCAAATCCTGTCCTCTAGAACACAAGAGCACAACTCCAGTGTCTTTACATCATCAACAGCTGTCAGCTTTGAAAGCTGTTAAATTAGTTCAGTGAAGTTCATCATTAGCTCAGTTAGGCCATTAGGAACAGAGGTGGAATGGACCCTTAGGGATGCACCAGGGCTCTGCACCAGGGCTCTGCACCAGGGCTCTGCACCAGGGCTCTGCACCAGGGCTCTGCACCAGGGCTCTCCAGTGCTGATCCTGAAGGCCCACACACCTGCTGGCTCTCAGGTGGACCATTGCACCCACGATTCACTGAATTAGGATTGATGTCAACTGTGTGACTGTTGTCAGACCTCTTCAATGTTAGAGTGGCCTTTTAGCAATTGCATTCAATGCAGTTAAGTAAAATGAAATCCCAGGCATTCTAGTAGAAAACAAGCCTGTTAACTGGAATAAGGGTTCAGTCAGGTCATCAGCAGAATTGTTTCAGGCCTGGAGCTGTGCACACCATGCTTCAGCAATGGGCTTCAGTGATCTCTCTCTTTCTCGCCTCACTTCCGCACGATGAGCTTTTTTTCCAGTGCATTATGCTGCAGTTTCACGTCCTTTCTTTGCCAGGTCTGAACTATAAATGTGATTGTTACCTCTGTTGTTTTTCCTGGTTCAAGGTTTTAGTTGTGCAGTACACTGCTAGCTTGGCAACAGTATAAGGAGAAGATGTGGTAAGACAGCCCATCATTGAAAAAAACAAAGTAGCATCGCAAAGATGAGAAGACAAGCATACCCATGCAATGCTATTCAATCCAGAGTGATTTTTTTTACTGTTATTAAATGTGATACCTTCACTGGTAATGTGCCAGTTCAGTCTGCAGTCATTTTGTTAAAAAAACATTTGAAAGCTGTTTCTGTATCTCTCAGGTCAAAGAACATTACAGGGAATAGTCAAATCATCACAGTGAACGTAATGGAAAAATACTCCTTTATACATCACATCCACAAGGCACATTGCAGTTTTAATTTGAGAGATTCAGAAATTGAGGTTTATACACCTTTATGTTTCAACATTTAAATGTTGATAATGTCGTGATTGTGGATTGACTCTACATATTGAAGGGGAATCATTTAAGGTTTATGTATTAGTCTATATAATAATAAACGTTCACTTGGGATTGTGTGCTATTTTATGGATGTGTTCTTCTTCTTGAAGAAGACTGTCGTGCAATTTAATGAAAGTCCTATATAAATGGAAAAAATGAAAAATTCTGCTCTGGAAATGAATGACTTACCTTACAGCCCCAGAAAAGAATTGCTATAAAGACGCTTGATTCTGAAGATTGATATTTTTTGAATGAGCTCTTTGTAAACACATTCTCTCTCTCTCTTTCAATAGGTTACTGGAGGAACAGCTCAACAAGTTTAAGAGCAGCATGTATTTGCAGCTGACTTGCTTTCAACCTCCCTCTGTTCTCCCAGTAAAAACATAGTTACTGTACCATTGTGCCTCACGTACACATTTCACTCCTGTGATGCTGAAGAAAATGTACATCAATCTGCTATTAAACCATATGATTTCTGTCATTCTGCCATTCATTCACACCAATTCAAATTGGTGAACCTAACAATTATTCAGATTTAATCTCTTCATTAGTAGTAGAAATTAAAAAGTTCACATAAAAGCTTTATTTAGCACTGAAACATACTGTATGTGTGATTAAGGTGTAGTTGTGGTGGCTTCATAAGCAGCTGTTAAACTCTTCAGTTTTGAGTGAAAAAAGGTCTCCTTTAACTATGCGTTTGCTTGAAAATCAATTGCATGTTTATGTCTTAGAGCTGCAAAAGCTGGCAGATTTCACTAGTCCACAAGTTCACTAGAAGCCAGTAACCAACCGACCACTTTCCATTAGATGACAGTAAGCTCATTTGTATTTGTTCCCTACCCTCAAGAAGCTACTTGTGGTTTTTCTGATAACTTAAATAACAGTTTACAATGGAAAAATCTCAGTACATCCATAAACAATCTCTTAAGTCTCCAGGGGAAAAAAAAACTTCTTGTATTCAATTTGGAAAATATCCAGAGGTGTTTTTTTATTACTTTGTTTTTCACTTAAAGTAAGTAGGTTTTCATCTTCAAGGTAAAATGAGAGACATTGCTACTCTGCAGCAGATAAACCTGAAACCATGGAATGCAATGATATTTCTGTACATTCATTTCCTCCCAGGAGACTTCTCATACTGCTTGTGTTGTTACTAAGTACCGCTTAGTAAGTTGTTACTGTTACTAAGTTTTCATCCTCCTCTACGATCATTTCAAAGTCCTGTGGATCTTTACCTTTTCATTTTTCAATCGTAATTTTATGTTTATCCTTTTTTGTGCATCGGAAGAATGACAACCAAACTGCAGCAATTTATAATAAACAATATAGATGACTGAACGATGGGTGCACTGTCTAATTTTAGATTCCTTAAAAATAACTGAGTGTATTGCAAGGATGTTTCTGTTTCATGCAGATTAACCTGCACATTTCGTTGCTGCCTATGACATGGATACAAAATTCAGAAATATCACAATCAATGTGATGAATGTGTCATTTAAAAAAAAGAAGAAGCTCGGCAAAACGTTTTGAATCGGTAAATTTCACAGAGACATTGGAGAGCAGTGCAACACCACACACCTTTACAAACATGCCTTCTACGGCAGCCTCCCAGTAGACTATTGGTTTTGTAAGTTGACTGTCCCTCTGATTTATTTCTTGTAGCCCCGGTTTAACCTCCCTTCTGTAAAATACAGACTAAGAAGTCTTTTAACTGTTAACATAGATATAACATAGAGATAAAAAGAAATCTGATTCTCTAGAACCTCCCCCCTACACATACACAGCAAGGAGAATTAGTTTAGCATAAGCTGACTGATAAAAAGCGTATTAACCATTTAAATCAAGGAGAAAAAAACACAGATATACATATCTGCAAATGTTTTTTCATGCGGTAAGAATGTATTTATATATACATTGAACATATATTGATTTAGGTGGGTTTCAACTGTTGGACAGTTACTCGGCAGTGCCAGTTTGGAGAAGACTAGAAGACTCCTAGTACACTAACTGAAGACACAGGGTGCCATCCTGATAGGATGGCATGTTTGGGGCTTAAGTAACTGCAGTGCTGAGGGTTAGCATGTAGAAGCACCCACTCAGTGTTGCTTAGCACTTTCTAAAATACATGCGCATCCAGCCATAGTCAAAAGCAAGTAATTTAAATGTGATGATATGAATAAATGTCAGCAGTTCACGTGTTGAGTTGTTTTTTTTTATTTTAAATCCCGAGTTCTTTTTTTTGCACATTCACTCTGGCAGTGTTCCCTCTGAGCCGTGCGCGTGTGCGCATGCACACAGGTTATGAAATCAGTGCATACAGGAAATTGAACTGCGCACAAAAAATTGAATTAAAAAAAATAAAACAGACATGGTTGTCAATTTAAAAATGCTCAATTGAGCACATGAGACTGGCTGCAAGAGGCCCAACTTGGCGGTGTGCATTATTACTGCTGCTGGATCATCGATGCTCTCGTAGTCTCGAACCTCCCTGCACCTGCTCGCTCGACACTATGACTGGGCTCGCTGAATCACTGTCCCGGTCTTTTGGACCTCTATGTTTCTATGAGAATGACTATATTAAAAATAATTTCAGGTTTACAATTTTACATACACTCAATTTAGTGCACACAAGTGTTTGTCACTGGGAAAAAAAATTGCACAACTTGACATTTTTGCGCACACGGGCCATTAAAAATTAGAGGGAACATTGCACTGTGGTGTCATGAACTGCATCAAACACAGTTCTAACACCAAACAAAAGTTTAAGTACAAGCAGAGAACAAGAGCAGAGCTCTGCACACCCAACTAAAGTACTTGCATTTGGCTGTCAAGTATGCATTCCTACCCTTTCTCATCTGCTGTTTAAGCTGGTGAGCTGTTGTTCTTCAGAAAGTGTGCCTGATAGAACTAAATTCAGTCATGTATCATACTTGAGCAACAGCAGAGAAAGGAGCAGGTATACTATGAGGTGATGGGGACTATTTGCATCTTCTTTGCTTTATTTCAATGCACTGCAGTAAACGAAATAGCATTTTACATTCTGGTCTCATGAAGTGGATCCAAAAATCATTTACTTTTCATGAAAAAGATTATAAGCCTTCGTTCAATCTTTGCAACTACTCACATGATCCTTATTAAGGATTTTATTTCTCTTCTTACTCCAAAGAATAGAGATCCACTTGCAACACAACCCTGTTGTAGTGGTGAACACACAGTTAGTTGTGTGATAATCTAGTTATCTTTGCTTAAAAACCAAGGGGAAATTTGATTTTTTTTTTCAGTTCTGTCACCAAAGGTTCCCACCTACTCAGTTGGGAAAAGGTTGATCAGAAAGGTATATATCCCACTGAGATTTAGAGAAACAATTTAGTAGTGGTGTTCCATTTAAAGTGTGTTATTAACATGAGTGAGCACTTGGTAATTAGGGTTCTCCTTTTTAAACTCGCTAGTTTGGAACTGATAATGAAGCTGTTCAGCAACACTCAAAAAGCAGTGGTTACGTCAAATGGAAATGATCAGTGTAGAATTACCAGTTTCAATAATGGACTCACAAAGGTGGATACAGAAAAAAATGTAAGTTTCTTCATTGCATATTGCCCCTTGCAGATGAGCTGAGATCACAGATTCATCTCTCAGCAGGCTTTTTTTCATTCTAAGAGCAATGGCGTCTCTTAGTAAGGCATTCTTTGGTGTCAGAAATGCAGCTGCTTTTTGGAATGGCGGCATGCGTGGTGGCCAACCTGCAGAAGAAAAGAAAAAACGTAAAACAAGATTAAAACTTCGAGTTAACTCTTTGGGTATGCTCAACATTTTTCCTTGTACAGTATATGCAATACCTGCAGTTTCTGGTTTTCAGTTCCTGTTAGGCCCTGAACTTTCAAAGCCTCCTGGTGTACAAATTTGTATGCAAATCTGTTAACTGGACATTTTTACTGGCTAGAACTAATAAATCAGCCCAACCTCTGTGTGCGTTTTATATTTTTACAAGTATTACAATATGTCGCTTTTACAGATTTGCTCATATTTCACCTGTCAGCCTGGTGACTCGTTGGGCTTTTTTTTCCCCTCCCAAACCGTTGGCATCTACATAGATCGAATGTCTTTTACAATCAGCTTGGACAGTTGTAAGTAACTTAATGACAGTTTCTCTTCCTGTAATCACCCGTTAATTCCAAGCACCACACTTCATATAACCTGACACATTTTCTTGAACTGTGATGATGAACAAGTAGTTGTGACTCATGATCAAACCGATGGTTTGGAGAGCTTATACTCACAGAGGGTTCCACTGAATCTCTTTCTGTTTCTGACCTTTAAATTTATAAATAAATGTATTGAAACCCCTAACCCACATGTTGCATAATGAAATTGAGAAGTTATCTGTCTGTCCAAGGGACTGAACAATAAGATGTGCATCGTCTCCAGGCTTGCTGAGAAAAGAAGAAGTGGGAATATCTGAGTTTTAAAGGTTGTAAAACAATACACCTAGCTCAGACTCAGAACATTTACAGTTGTACACTGAAACGACTAGAAGGTAGTGAGACATCTTCTTGTACCAGTTTCAAATCATAACTCGCTGTTACTAATTGTTGTGGGTATTTTGATTTTATTTAGAGAAAGTAAAGACTTAGGTGAATAGAAAACCTAATGAAATTCAGCAAGTTCACACATTGTAATTTGTGATGAGTCTGTGAGTTCAGTTTAACTGTCTTAAGCATCCCCTTGATTGAGTTCAGCAGGTGTCTTCCTTTACCTGCATTTTTTTATTCTGCAGTTATATTTTCTTATATCCAATGGTGCACATTAGCAAAAGGCAAGCCTGCGATCACCGTGGTGAATCTTACTCTGTTCTGTCAATGAGATGATGATGTCAAGACAAAGTACTGTCTGTAAAGCAGTCATAAGGTTTTGTTAACCTTTGAGCTTTTTGATGGCAACACGAAACAGACCTTGTTCCATCTTAAATAACTGATACAATCTGTCGCAGGTTTTTAATGAAACGTGTCTTTCCCCTTCTCTCTCTCTCATATGTGGATTTTTGTTTTTTTTAATAGCAGCTTCTTGCGAGTTTTAAGAAATTCCCAGCAGGCAGATTCAGACAAGGAAAATGTTAAAACTGCAGAAAATAAAAACATCACCTTTGAAAATTCCCTAACCAGCTTTAGTTATGAATTCGGAACAAACTGTTAATATCTGCTATCATGTTCTTGTCCCTTATATTGTGTGTCAAGGGCAGTGAGGTATACTTTCCCTGACCTGACACCTGTTCCATTCACACAGCTCCCCAGCACACGAGAGGATCGCTGTCTCTTGATTTCCTAGCAGTTGTTTATTTCTTAGGTAAGCATGGTATTTCATCCAGAAGGCAATGAGGAAACAATTGTGAATACAGCTTCCTTTTCTTATACCACTAGACAGCTGATAACATCAGCCTCATGCGTACAGGAATAATCGCGCTTTGGTTGTTTACACAGAATAGCCTTTTTTTTCCAGCTATTTTGGTACATTTTGCAGAAATATAGGTCTTTACAGTGGAATGTGTTTTTTCTCAGGTTTGTTTTTTTACCCTGACCTTTAAGAAAAAGACCTATTTTATTAACCCAAATTCATTTATTAAGTTTTTTTTTTTTAATTTAGCTTGTTAAAAGCTAAATGATGAGTTTGTTACTAAGGTTTAGCAACGTTTTAATGAGTAGAAAATAATGGCTAGCATGCTTTATGAAATGGATTTAACAGAACATGGGAAACAGTTGGAGCATACTGTATATAATTTCACATTTTACTAAACAAAAACATGACATCACTGTTATTGTTTGTTAAGAGGTGGATTACTGTAACAGTAAAAGTGCCTGGTGTGTAGTTTTAGGTTTATGTAGGACGTACAGCACAGCATTGCATCTTACATACTCATTAATACAGTGAGCCTACTCAGAAATGAGAGTTGGAAATTTTGTCACTGATACCTTGTAAGCACTTTTACAATGTGCAACGTGCATGTTCTGTGTTTGTTTGAGTACATTTTAGTTCGTTTTTTCCTTGCCATGTATCCTGATATGCAGTTTCATGCTAAGGTTCAGCACATCCTTTCAAGTTACTGCGACATCTACAGTACACTACTGTACTAAAGGTCCAGTTAGGTAAGTGACCAGGCCTGGGAGTGCTGAGCACACACCTAACAGAGCAGCTCTGGAATACACTTAGCACAGACAGGAGGCAAATCCTGCAGTTCAGTCCCCGTGTGGTGGGGGTGTTTTTATTTAGAGCTGTGCCCATCCTCTGTTCCCTTTGGTCCACCTTTACAGATTGTGTTACGGTGGCAAGGCGGTGAACCCTGGGTC